TTTTCATTGGCTAGCCCCATAATGGGTCAGTGCTACTTCTTCCCAGCTGAACCTGCTGGGGGAACATATAAGGCTGGATCCCCAAAAAGGGCTTAGATGCCTGCATGAGTCCAAGCTTACTTGGTCAGATGCTGTGAAAGGACATGCCCAGAGCAGTATAGCAAAGAGCGAGCGAGCGAGCGACTGGGATAGACAGCCATTCTGTACAGCAGCGTTAGGCAGCATTTTTAGAGGTGTGAAGACTGATTTCTTCAGTTTGTCAAGAGAAATGTCAGTGTCTGTCCTTTTGCTAAAAATGTTTTGAGGGAGGCTCATTAAGGGAGGAAAGTGATTGAGGACTGAGCTCACTGAATCGAAAGTGATTGCATGATGGATCATATCCTAGGCAGCTAACTTAACAGGAGCGTTCTTAATTTCCCAACTGAAAAAAAAAATCACAACAGGGTTTTTATGCCAGAGAATATTTTTGTAAGCACAAGCAGCACTAGGAAGCAACAAACCAGCCAGAGGAGAGCAACGATTATTTTGTTTAAAATATTTCATAGGTGCTAAGCAGGTAGAATGTCTTAATTTATGGTTAGTCTGTTATAACTTCTTATAGCATCTAACTGAATCCTTGTGCCCTCAGGTGTTGCTTTAGCTGCCCTCCTCACGTCCATCTGTCATTTCATTCACTGGAATGACAGCTTTGTTGCGGTTCTGTAATTCACCTCTGTTACTTGGCTAGCTTGTAAGCGTGTCCAGGTACCAACCTGGAGAACCAGTTGACCACTTTTAATCTTGCACAGCCCTACCAGGGCTCTCATAGTCACTGGGACACTATCCCGCAGGGCCAAGGTGCTGTCCCCAGGAAAGATAGTGTCCAGTGTCTGTGGATGATCCACAAATTATTCTACTGATACTGGTTCATATCTGTGATATATACTTACAAGAGCTTTTGATCATGTATTAACACTTTAGAGATGAACCCTTCTTTAGAAAGTGTGATGGTTGTTTCAGCATTTACCTTTCACCCCTCCTGGCTAGAACACCCACCAGAGAACCAGATCAGAAAGAGAGCAAAATCAAATCCCTTGCTGTCAAGTTATTGTAAACTCACCCCTGGCAGGGTCTTGTGAAGGGGTCAGCCTGAGCCCCCTCTTCCAAACCCTGGACATGCTTTTTGATTTAGTTATGTACAGCAGAAGCATAGTGTTAACCTCTGTCCTCTTTCCCCACCAAAAGTCCACCCCATCCTCTTATAACGGATGGAGAACCTTTCTTCCAGCATGAGCTATCAATCTCACAGTCCTCCTTTTCCTACTGGGCTGCCATCAACCCTTCAGTCCCATGACATTGCTTTCAGCTGGCAGGCAACAAAGGGAGAGAACGTACATCAATGCTAATAAAGAGTAATCAAAAACCTTTCTGTTATTGTTGGGACTTGAGCTTCTATAGACTCCTTGACTGTGAAGATGCAAGGGAGAATGACCCTGAAATTACAGTACCTTTGATGCTGTGTAGCACGGCAGGGTTTTTTAATATATTTTTCCCAGAGCCTGCTTAGTGGTAAGGGATGGCTGAGAGAGATTATTTGTACCATTGTATCCAAAGTTTATTCAAGTGTGTGTGTGTACATTCATAATGTGTTGTGTCTTTTTCATATAAATTATATAGGTAGCCTTAGTGGTTAGAGTTGTTTATTGTATATCATCTGATGAGTTCTGGGATGGAGATTAAATGCTCTCACTTGAAATCAACACCCTCCTTAGAGTCTGGATTCAGATAATCAAGGTGTGGTGTTGTAACAGGAGGACCATGACACAATGGAGGCTGACTTGGACAAAGATGAGGTCTTACAACCTCAGCTGGGAGAGCTGTCAGGAGAGAAGCTGCTGACAACTGAATATTTGGGAGTAAGTACCCCCCATGGGGCTTCTAAAATCACCAACTTCATTTGATTATTAAGTATTTAATTTCCACTTTTCCATCCGCTTTGGAAATTCAGAGGCTAAGTTAGAATGGATGCCTGCTTCTGTTCTCTACTTAAAATGTTGGCTGAGCCTTAACTCTCTTCCTAGCCAGCCCCAATCCATTGCTATCTACTTAAGAACGTCTAACCTGCAGAAGTAAGATGAGCCTGGGAAATGTGTGTCTTTGCAGGGCCAGCTGGGAACAGAAAGAGAGCGCTATGGTACAACGAAATGAAGATCCATGGTATAGATCTTCAGTGAATCAAGGCATTTCAGTTTAATGGTATTAGAATGGTATTCATCTATCAGTCCCAATGACCCTAGTTCCCTGTTTTCCTTTTTCTCCTCTCTTCCTCTGTCCCTTCTGTGTATTAGATAATGACCCATACACCCAAAGTAAAGAAGAAACTGTTCCCTGGTGTCCATCAGAGTATAGATGAGCCTCTGCAGAGACCAGTCACACCGGGCTGTCACAGGGCTGTGTATCCAATGTAAGTCTGGGGAAATGAGGCTTGAAGGTGGATTTGTTTTTTCCCTTAACTTTGAATTTTACACTAAAACACTGTAACTCTAATGCATGAAAAATAAAGCCTCCATACTGGAAAGCACATTGCCATTGTCATTCTTTAAAGATCGCTAACCTTAAGTAATGGATGTTTGAAAAAGAAAGGGAAGGAAACAGCAATCAGAAAGATGGTCCTTTGGCCTATGTTGAAATAATGGGGTGAAAGCTTATAGATTGATTTTGTTTCCTCTTGCAGTAATGTTGGTGTGTCCATAGTGCCCATCTTTTACAGTGTTTTTGTGGGTGAGTTCCCGCATGGGTGAAATGTCAGTGAACCTGTCATGCAGTAAGCCAGAAAATGTGATCTCTAGGGATAGTTGCTGCCCTTGCATGAAATAAATTAGAAGGGAAATGAAGGAAGACAACAGTTACAGACATTAGACCTGCACAACATGTGTAAGATAAGGAGTAAAAGGAGTCTGATCAAAGAAAGCCTGGTCACATAAGCAGGTGTAGCTGAGGTCAATGGTAAGATATTTGCTTGTAGTTTGATCTAAAAGTTTATCTGGGCCCTTAAGTTCATTGCATGTATTATTGAATTGCTTTTAGAGAAAGTAAGCCATACTCAGTTTGCTCAAGATGGGATTTCTTTTTACCCATGATGGGATTCTGGCATTGTCATTTTGCCCAACAAGAAGTCAAAGATTAGCCCCTTTTTTTTCAGGGCCATGAAACTATGTTACAGTGTTATGCCCTGTCTCAAAAATGTCATGTTCTGCATGTGCTTTTTAAATGAGGATCTAGCATCTGTTCTTTAAAACAGTGCAGTATGGTGTTTCAAAAGCCACAAGATCATCAAAACATTTTTAAAAATATTTGAAAAAATAAATCTTTAAATGGAGCCCAGACAAGCTGAAATTTCAGCATCCTTTAAAAAACAAGTAAAAAGTCATTCTGAGTTTTTATATTGCTTCTAAGTTGCCCCTGCTAGTTTATTGTTTTTATAATCACATTTTGCCATTATGTGAAACACATTTCTATGCGAATTCAGTGTGGAAGACCAGGCAAACATCAGGGGAAATTAACTTGGAGTGGATAAACACTGAAACTTTCAGCACAAGGTGTTGTGAAATGTACCAAGCAAACCAGCTGGTCCAAGCAGAGAACGTATGTCATTAACCATGATCATCGGTTTTACTTGTAAAAATAGCTGGAAACATTTGGAGCCAAGTTGTGATCATTTCTTGTAAAGCTGCTATTACAGCTTCTAGGCTCATAGGTTTGCTTATGGAGCAATATTGGTTGTATAAAATGGTAAGCGAGTTCCCACATTCAGAAAGTGTTTCATTGCATTTTAGGTGCTGTGAAGAATGCCTCTTATTAAGCCACTGGAGTACCTGCAGTATCTTTGAGTGCACCAAATACAAGACCTTAAGAGCAAAATCACTTGTTAGAAAAATGGCATTTTTTCCTGTGTAGTTAACCCCATGGTACTTGAGTTTACTGCGACTGTTTTGTCTAATAACTTTCATGCAGACTTTCAGAAGAAGGCGTAAAAGCAAAGGCAATGTTTATTGTGTATCTGCAAGGGCATTAACAATAAGCTCGACTAAGTCTATTTCTGAGTGAATAACATTTCACCTTGTCAGGATATAGGAACTCTGTGATATGTAAGTCTGACCCACGTTGTGACCTTAGCAATGTGTGTGGGTAGCTCAGAGCAGAGCTTACCTTGCAAAGTCCTGCTTTCTCCCCCATATACTATTCTTTCTTAACTGATGAAGGAAATGGCTTAGATGTAACTGTAGAATCTCATTCCTCTTCATCACATAATCGGGGTCCAGTATTTAAAGCATATGGTAAAAACGTTTCTTCAAAAGTCAGTTTTTCCATTTCAAAATCCCAAATGTTGGCAAACTATCTTTCTGTATTTGTGAAGAGAGGAGCAGCCCTAGCGATAATGCAGGCTGCTCTCAGTAACATAAGGATCATTTCATTACTAGTTTTCTTTCACTTTCTATCCCAGAAGAGCCACAGACAACACAGCCTTCCTACTGTGCTGCTGAACATGAGCTCGAAGCTCCTTTACTTCAGGTCAAGGCTATTACCCGTGTCCAGCAAATCCCTTTCCTCTGCAGTTTCTGCACCTGGCTGCAGGCTAGCAAGCCCGGGTTCATTCTCAAGGGGTCTCTAATCAGAGTAGCATTTTGCAGTACATGGTTAGTAGCGTTCACCTTTATATCTCAAATTCTACTGAGGCAACGATGTATTTCCAGCCTGCTGTATAGATAAGGAGGTTGCAGCACATCAAAATGGATTCACTTTTCCAGTGTAGCAAAGCTGACAGTAGACCCTGGCTCTCCTGTGCACTTATAGACTGCGTCTTTTCTCTGGGTGGGATTAGATAACTCATGTATGGTACTGCTATCTGCACTCGTAGCATGCTAGAACTGATAAAGCCTTCGTTGGAGCTTCCAGGTTTCTTTGCATGATGTTGACTCCAAACCATGATCCGGCCAAATCACAGTTCGAGCCCCTTGCAACTCAGTCACCATCATCACTAAATGAGAGAAGTGTCAGCATCCCACTGGAGACATGTTAAAATGTGCTCCTTGCACCTTTGTAGCAGTCCCAGTAACTTGGTTTGATGGATGCGTGTCCCTTGACGATGCAACGCAATCACTGCACATTGTTGCGTCCAAACCAGAATTTAACAGTCCGTTATTTTTACTGATTTAAAAAAATGTTGTAACGGCTAATTTGAACTAATTCAGTAAGATGGTACAGTCAGCGTGAGGTGAATGCCCATCAGCCACATTTAAGGTAGGAAAGTGCAAAGTCACCGCAAAAAATGAGACTTTCATACAGTGAAACCCTCTGTAGGTAGCTTCTATATGCAGGAAAGCTGCTACAGTAGAAAGGCAACAGCTAGATTATCTAGATCAGGAAATTCTTTAACCAGAGAAAAGGACAAGATTTAATGGAGGCTATGTCTTGATAACTGTAGTAAGCAATTTCAAGGCAGTCAAACTGATCTAGTGATCCAGATTTGAAGCAAAGGCTTCAGCTGCATTTGTTAGTCTGTAAGGGGCAGCTTTGCCCTGCCTTTGGCTTGATTTATTTAGGAAAAGTACTGACCGTGTCTCATCACATGTCTGTGTGGGGACACTCAGGAAGGTGAATCCAAACACACTCAAGGTATCAATTTAATGATACCTGTGTGGCACCCTGTGTGGATGCTCCCATTCAGAATTCAAGTAGCCTTAATTTTGTTTCGATTCTTCATGAAGGCGTTTAACGAGGTTTAATGAATCCACTTTCAATCCACACAGCAAGGGCTTTTCTGCACAGAGACAGAAGCCTGCATTGGGGCGGGCAGAAAAGCTGTGGCTGAATAGCTGTTCTGCACGAGAAGTGGATTCACTGTACCTGCAAAAGGGTCCCTTAGTGTCCACAGGGAGAGCTACTATGTAATAACTGTTACAGGGTAAACCGCATCCAAGCTACTTTCCTGTAACCTCTCTGTGTAGACAAGTTATTCATTAACTCAGAAGAATTTATGGGGAGAAGGGGCCTCCTTGTATCGACAGGCCTTGGGTGTACTACATAGGGCTATTTTAGCAAGGAAAGCTGGCACAGAGCACCAGAGACCTTCCCATTTGGTGAGATCACTCAGGAGGCATAGGAAGTCCCTCCAGCTCAGTGTTTCTCAACCCATGGGTTGCAACCCAAAAGTGGTCGCAAGAATATATGAAAGGGTTGTGAACAAACTTTAAAAATAGATTCTTCTTTAAAGGAGAAAAGTGTGGGAAGCCGTGGCTTTTCCCTTGTAGGCTGGCAGAGCTCCAGCCTGCAAGGGGCTGCTTGGGGCTCCCCATGCACCCCACGCACCACCCTCCCTCCCCCCAAACACCTACTCTCTGCCCCACACACTGGGGGTGGGGGCCAGTGGGTTGGGAGTGAGAGGCAATGGGTTGGGACTGGTCATCAATGTTTACAAATGGTCCAAAACCGGTTGAGAGCCCCTGGACTAGATATTCCCTTAGAATCTGACTCTTTGGAAAGCAGTTTTCTGCCGAGAAGTGTCCCAGTTACCTTTGCCTGATCTGGGCACGACTGTTCAGTGAAACTCATCTCAAGGCAACTTCTGTCTAACCTCCCCTGACCTCTCATCTGCCCCCCACTGGCCTCTGTTACCCCATTTGATTTACTAAGTCATTTGCTCTCTCTTGTCCTTCAGAAACTCTTCACTGCTAACAGGCAGCCCCCTGTCCATGAAGCCACCAGATCCAGTTCTGTAGCAATTGAGTTAAAATACTCTGCTATGCTTTGAAATCCCTGTTCTGTGGAACCCCAGTAATATTCATATGTCCCTGAGACCTGGTAGACTCACCAGCATTGTTTCTGGTTTAAGGGTCTGCTGGGATTTCAGCTCTCCAAACTGTCAGGCATTATGGTTTCCTTCCCAAGCTATTTATTACATTAGGAAAAAATGTTAATTTCAAATACATCGCACATCAGCTGGGTTGGAGAGCTGCAGTCAAAACTGTTACAGTCATGCAGTTAAATTATGGCTTTAGCACTAGCTCACAGCATAAAATATGCCTTTATATTTCTTCAGGACCGTTACAGGAAATGAGATGGTGATATTCAGGCAGCTCTTTTAGGCTGGAAGTATTCATCACCCTGCGTTCTCATTTCTCCTCCAGGCCAGAAAATGATGCCATTCCTTCCCATGGCAGGGACGGCAAACTCCAGACTCTGCAGAGCTGTTGTCCTCCCACCCGTAGTGGGAGCAGGTCCAACACTTCTGACTTCTGTATTTCCTCTTCATGTAAGGATGAGCTGGGAATGCTGCAGTTAATTGTTCCTAACAATCTGGGCGGGGGGGAGGACAGGGTGGGCATTTGGAGAAGAGGGTACCCCGGGGGTGAGTTGGAGTTTTACAGTGTGGTCTGCAGCTGACTTTTTTGGTGCAGAGAGAGACCACAAGGCCCCAGCAGAATAACACCCTGGACAAGTAACAAGCACCTATGGAGCTGAATGACACCATGGTCTGCAAATCCCAGCACGCATGCTCCCTCAATCTAAGCAAAGGTGCCAAGGATTGAAACCAGGGCCTCACACATACAAAACTTGCTCTCTACCACTGAGCAATTCCCCCACCCCAAGCAAAAGAACTGCGGCTCGCAGGGTCTGCAGTTTCCAGCACTGCAGTGCTACTTTCTTGACCAAACAGACCCCTGCACAGATCTAAACAAGGCCTTATCTGTTAGTATCTGTTGTCATCTGTTCGGTGGTTCAGCTACAACAAAAATGAAGGGCTGATTTTAATTAATCCTACTGATGCGCTGTGGAAAAGAGGTTACAGACAAGGCAATAATAAAAGTTTTGGGGAGAGGACAGCGTATGCCCTTAGGTGTGGCCCTAGACTTCTAATCCATTGCCCATGCCATCCTTGGTTGGCATCATTTGAGAGACCCTGGGAGATGCTAGAGATCCTTTCCCTGCCATTTTACTGGAATTAACACAAACCCCTGTATCACTGCAGAAACGTGAAGTAAAATTGAGATGATTCTGAAATACTATGTTTCCAAGCTGTTTGCCAAAGGGAGGGACAGGGAGCTCAAGGACCAGGGGAGTAAGGTCCCAGCTTAGTTGTGGGGATACGGTCTAGAGGTCAAGGTAGGGCACTCAGTCAAATTTGCTGGGATTTCACTTTAAAGGCTCTTGAAACTTTCCAGTGCAGAATTATTAAAAAGCCCAAATATGCTTTGAATCAGTGAAGACAAGGCATCTTTTTAAATTTCCGAGAGGAAATGAAAGGGATTCTGCAAAAACCAACCAAGGTTTCCCAGACAAGAATCTGCTTGCATAATGCTCTGAGCTGATCTATAATCGCTAAACCAAAGGGGGTACATTTGAAGCGTATGAAGTGTTCGAGAGACCTAGCTGAGCTCTCCATATATTCTGTCATAATGAGAGCAGTGCCATTTGAGCCTCAGGTTTCACACAGGAATAGGAATATGACTAAAGTATTCGACAGAGACACTATCTGGCCAGATGCAGCAGCTCTGAACAAAAGATACAAGTCAATAGGAAGCCCACTGACTTTGCAGGAAAGCCAGGGTTTTAAATTTTCAAACTTCATAAAGGGGATTAAGCAAATCAGACATTGAAACCACTGCTCTTTGCTTCTTAAAAATGTGTGGCGTGAAGAAATCCACCATTGGATGCAGAGACTGAAAAATAATTCCTTATATTTATTTTAAAGGCTGAGGGAGCACAACAATGCCTTGTAAATGTTGTATTTAGCCAGTATCTGGGCATTAAAACATACCCACCAGTGGGGTGGAAAATCAGCAGCCAATCCTGGCCAGTGACACTGTGGAGCAGTTCACTCGGGGGGGGTGGTAAATTTACTCTAGAAAACACTTCTTCCTCTCCTGTGACACTTTCCCAAACGCTACAGTGAAGAACAGCTCACAGAGCAATGCAGTGATCATTGCATTCTCTCTAGAACCTCTCTTTCTTCCCAGGAAAAGAATCCCACTCTGAAATAGGTTGCATAGACTTAGAGGAGTTCAAACCTTGGCCTTGCTGTTCTTGTACCATGATGGAAATGGGGAACCTTTTAGATTAGGCCATTTTCCAGCTCCGTCATGAACAGTTCAGAGTCAAGTTCGACACAGCGGTGTCACAAAGTGGGCAGCGATTGACCAAGAAGGAGGAGGTGGATGAAGCTGGTGAACCATTTAGGTCAGAGTAACTCAGCATCACAAGAAAGCATAGGTCTTTGCCCTCTTTCTTGACCTAGAAGTCCTCAACTTCTTTCACGTGGGGGTCTACCTTCCCTTCCTGCCCCAGAGTTTCCCTGTGCGTGGGCTGTCACCTGAAGAAATACAGCATAGCCATCGTTTGGTGTGCACCCAATGCTGCTCTAAGGGTCTGTCTTGGGTACCTCATTGGCACCTGCTCAGTGCCATTCTGATAGCAGCTACGATACATTTTTTTTGGTGTTCTTCACAGAGATCCCCCTGCACTGAAACACCCATTCTTTTCCCATAGCAATTGAAATTGAATCGTCCAAGATATTCTCATCCAGTCTCAGAATGGATCCACACGCCTTAGGAGCTACTGAAATCCTGTCTGTCCAATCCACTGATTTCACCCAGGACAAAGTAAACGGGCAGCCACACAGGTACGACTTAGACGTGTAGTCATCTGGGAACAGGGAAGGAGTTGTGGGGTGGAGAGGGGTGTTTAGCAGCTAATTCCATGCTGCTGTAAAGACAGCCTGTGAAGTCATCTGCTGTATGATGTAGTGTGGTGTGACCCCGCTGGGATAACGCTTGCCAAACAAAATAGTCTGAGCATTACAAGTGGCATCTGTTCAATTTTTAAAAAAAATCTGTGCCAGAAGAGAAGAAATCTAAGGCAAGATCTTATTAATGAACATCACATGGAAGCACAGCACTGTCACCTGCAAATAAAATACCCAGGTGGCTTCCTCAGGCGATTTACTGTGCTGAGCCCCATGAAGACATCATTCATTGTAGAAATCAAGAGCTTGGGTGAATTGGAAGAAGGTGACAAGGATTAAACTGCAAGAGGTAAAGAATTTAAATACTTAAGTGGATTGAGAGTGTTTAAACCTGCTGAGCTGACAGCCCCAATTGACCAGAGGCCCTGATTTATCCACTGAGTGCAGGTACCGCATGGGCAGCAGCCGGGCATGTTCTCTCATTATTGTACGTCGGCTCCAGGCTGAAAGGATCGCTAGGGAAGAAAGTGTATTTTGGGCTCTCTATCTGGGATGTGTCCTGTTCTGCCAGTTGTGATGGCGTTTTCTGGGATGTGAAGACTTCTTTGCTAGTAACTGCTAGCCTATTTTTTTTTAACAGAGGCCGTTACATTTTCATCAGATGTATGACTGCCTTGTGCCACATTTGAAACAAGGGCTGCAGAAGCATCTCAGAAGCAGATGAATATATGGGATGGGTGGAGCTAGACACCTGAAGGGACAGGGTGTGAGAGTGCAAGGATGTACCGAGCTGTCACATATGCAGGAGCTCTGAATGCACATCCCAGTGCTGTGCTCAGGCTCTCTGCCTTGGGCCAGGCTTGAGGGGAGCTGTGCATGGTTTGGACACCAGTGAGTGAGACTTACTTCTTCACCATGTACTCAGGCTGGCTCAGGAGGCTGTGCAGATCTGCCAGACCTCCTTGTCTCACACTGTGGAGAAAGCAACAGATTGCAAATGGACACGGTCTCCATCCTGTTCTCAGCTGGGCTTTGTGCTCACTCCTAACTGCAAAGCAGCAAACCTTCCTGCTAATTCCTCCTGAGCCCTGACTCTTCCTTTCTCTGCATCTGAGCAACTCAGCCCCTTTTCACATAGGACTCCCCACATCTCATGCATCTGCCACAAAGAGTCCTCCATCTACCTTCAGTCTTGCAACCGGCAATAGCACAACATTGTTCTCCTTCCCTGCTGTACAGCTCTGTTAATAGAGGAGTCTCTGCCTGGAGATGTGAGAGTGAAGTCTTGCACAAAGGCTGTATCGTAGCATTGTGTCAGTTCTGTTACCATGTTGGTAATGATAAATGATTACAAAATCAGCTTCAGGTTACAGGTTGTACAGGAAATGTAGTGCAGGTAGGCATGGCATGAGAAGTTGCTTGCCAGCAGGCTGATAGTTTTGCAGTAACCAGAACTTAATGTGCTATTTCCTTAAGAAAACACTTATGGTAATCTGTTCTTTCAACAAGTGGCAGTGCAAACAACCACAGCTACTGCCTTAATCTCACCCATTGCTAGGGCATGAAAGATGCAAACAAAGGCAATCCTTGATCCTCTGGCTCGTGGTGTATGTGAAGAGGTCTAGTCAAGTGCCTGCTGAATCTGCTTGTATGCAGTTCTGCGATCGTTGCACCAAGATGTTGAGCATGTACACCTAGGCAAGAGCAAGGGGGAATGGAGGCTGCCCAAGACCTGCCATCCCCCCTTCAGACCATTGAGACAGAATCCAAAGGCCAGACCAAGTCCAGACCGAGGTCAGTGCCTCAGTGGTTGTAGTTTCTGCCAGTTCAGTGCCTCAATGGTTGTAATGTCTGCCAGAGAGCAACAGGTAACTGCTGCTGATTGCCTAATGCCTCAGCTAAGGCGCATTTCTATTAGGGTGATGTCCCATAGCCTTTCTCCAACCAAGGAGTACCCACAAGGCATTGGGGGCTAGGGTTTTGAGGCGCCCTTTACTAACCTTACTCTGGAGGTTGCAACATTGTGATGTTTTATAGGAGCTGCCTCATCACAAAGAGCCCCACCATGTTGCCCCTGGATCTTCCAGTTGGATGCAGTCTATGGTCATACCCAGGACCATGGTTACAACCCACTGGTTTCTGTAGCCAGAAGCATGCAAGGGAGTGATGCGTCTGTGCCTGCATCTGGCCATCTTTGACTCCCCAGCTCGAACGAGTGTTTTTTAGTGGGGCCTTTGGCAGGAGTGCAGCACATAGGTTAAACATGTGCCTCTCCATTGGCAGCCAGACAGCCTCACTGTTCTGTCCCCATGCCGCTGCCCACCTCTTTTAACACGGTAGGTGTTCATTTGCCCATGCTTCTTGGGACATGCATACCAAGGCATCTCAGGGAGGTGAAGCAGAGCCATTTTCTTTGAACACCAGGGTCACTGGGTTGGATTTCTGTCTTTATCACATCTAGTAAGTTGGGAATAATACTACTGAGGTCAGGGCAGATGTGCTGGTACTAAACCAGTCTGTGAGAGGTGTGGTGCTCTATGTTGGCAGTGTCATTTTCCAGCAACTTCATTTCCGTTCCAAGTAATTGCCGTTTTAGCTGCTGGATGGCAGAGGGAGAGTTGTCCCCATTTTTCTTGGTTAAGCTGAAGCACAGTATTGTTTTAGTATCTCGTGACCTTTATCCACGCTGTGAGAGAGAGACTGTATGCAGGCAGTGTGTGGATACCCCCCTCGTGATTTTTAATACAAATTTCTAGAAATGCAACTTTTTTCTGTTGGAGAAAAGAGGAAGGAATTCATCTTTGTAACCCTTCCCCGTTTCCTGGACGGTTACTAAGACTGACCAGCTGTCTGTCATGCACTGGTTATCTCTGGTTGCTCCCCAGGCCAGCTGTTATCCAGAAGCAAATAGCTTTGCTTCTTCTAAAGGAAGATTTAGGTTTCTTTTTAGCGCTAACTACTCCGTGTGCTTGCTCTCAAATTACAGCATGCTGTCATGAATGTCTCTTCTTATGAAGAGCTGCTAAATATTTTCCCACGAGAGAGTTGTCTCCAGCACTTCTGTAGTTAAGCTCTAATTATTGCACATACAATAGCAGGTTTCTGTGCTGCACAATGAGAGATCTCTGGGAGGGAGAGGGCCATGTTCCTCCATCTTTGTATGCTTTATATTCGACGTCCAGGTAATAGCAAGGTTCACCATGCCGTGGATCTGAGAAATCGTGGCAGGTAAAGAAAGGGGGTCTGTAATGCTCGCTTGCCATGTGCAGCAAGTATGTAACCTTCCAGAAAGACTGTCTGCTTTAAATAGAGTATTTTCTCTGTGCTTATCCCATTCATCTCCTCTCAGTGCCTATGAACATAGACACAAAGGACTGGAAGGAACCTCCCAAGTTAATGTGTGTCATGTTATGCCTCTCATACACTTCATGAATTGTGAGCGTTCTGCTTTGCTTCGGGTATAGTAAGATAGGTCCCAACATCTAATTTCTTTGGAGATTTGTCATGGCCCCACTAGGGCTTTTAAAATCCAGATTCTCCTTATTTAGAGTTGTGCAAAAAAGAAAGCTCACCTGCAGCGCAAACCCTGGACAGCTTATTTGTGATGCTTTCTTTAGGCATTAACGTTTAAAAATCACGGGTACAGAACATGTGCAGCATGAGAATAGTGAAATGAAAGGACTGGAGCCCGAGCAATACAAATGAAAACAGGAGATAACCACGGTGCTTTATGGAGAGAGACCTCAAACTCTCTTATGTGAGTTCTGAACCTCAGGGATGGTTTTATAGCTTGAAATCTTCTTTGGCCAGTCCTAGTATCATGGAGAAGTCAGGCTGGAAGGGACCTCCATAGGTCACACAGTCCAGCCCACTGCTTGAGGCAGGACCAGATTCTTCTTTTTCTAAATACCTTTTTATCATCTGCTGTACAATCTTTTGAAACAACAACAAAGGGGAATACAAGAGGCAAGTGAACCTTGGCCTGAGAGAGATCTTGTTACAAGGATGTTTTGGAGCAAATTTCTAATTGACTGTGTCCTTAGCAGCACGTGTTTGCAAAAGCAAAATCCGGACAATTAGCACTGCTTAAAAAAACCCAATGTAAAAGCAACTTGGACTAAGGCATCTCCACACAAGAGGAGCAGCCGCTGAGGAAGAGCTATTGAGTGCTGACTCAGCAGCATGCCATCCTGGAGAGCGGATTAAATGGCTTGAAATCCACTCATCCTGCTTCCTCCCATTGACAATGGCTTTTTTTGATGGAGCAAAGGAGGTAGGTGCCCGCCCACTCCATTTTAATGACCTATGTTTGGATGGATAGCACCTTTTTGGATCTCCTTTTTTGGCTCTCCTTGCGTTTCCCAATTACAACCATCCTTTCCATGCAGATCCTGTTTCAATGTGGTCTTCTCTGGTTAAGGAAGAATATTGGCCTATTAGTAACCAACAATGAGAAATGCAAATGTACTAGCACTCCATGAGGTTGGTTTTGGTTAGGTGTCTTCAGAGTGTTCCTTGAACCCTTTTAGTAAGAGCTGCACCCCTCACAGGAAAACTGTTCCTGGAGTTGAGGAGATGGGAGAGGAGACTGTACGTCAGCATGGACATTGACTGTACTTTAAACAGTGGTGTCCTTAGGGCATATGGTAGGGCATTAGATAAGGGCTGATGCCAGAGAGCCTCTCAGAGCTACCAAGATGTCTCTGAATGGCCCAGTGGAGATAGTGCCAGGAGTTCCCCATTTCCTGTCCTTGCTGGGATCCAAATGTGTGACGATGCCCATGAACCTGAATGTGAGAGGAAAGACTCATGTGTGCACTTAGTAGGATTGGGACCTATTGGAGACATTGCAGAAGTATGACAGTTCAGGTGCTAATAATGTGAGATGCACATACACAGCCCTTCTGCATCTTGGCTTCATCACGTTTGCATTTGTGATGTAAAGAATGTGCCGTGGAAAACTTACAATCCAGTTTCGATTAGGACAGGCAGGGTCTCTTTAGTGAGTTGTCTGTACTATACGATGCTGTGGAATACCTGTGAGTATCGTGTATAGCTCCATCTGCAATCTCCATGTACTTGTGGATGTAGCTCTGTGTTGGTGAGCATGCACTTTGCATTTGGTTTAATCGCACACGTACAAATTGCCTGTTGATTTTTCTCCATGTCCCTCAAGGTGAAATTTATGGATATGCAGATCCTAACACTTCCCATCCCTTCTTGCAGCGAGTTTTCTTCTGCCTTCAGCAGCAGACCCAGGATCCCCCGCACACCCGACATGCCTTGTGCCAGCACCAGGAAGGGGAAAATCCCAACCATTGCTCCCCAGTTCTCTCAGTCTGGACCGCAGCAAACCAGCCGCCCCAGCTCTTCAAGTTCTTCTGCAAGAAGCAGGCAGAGTAAGAGACACCCTCATTTTTCAAGTTGTCTTTGTTTTGGGAAGCAGGGGAAGAAGGAAGCTTCACAGCAGCTCTCTGCCAAATGTTCCAGTGCTGCAAGTGCTTGAGCAGTGTGCAACAAGGGGCAGGATATGCGCCTCTTTAATTGTATCCTGCCGAGCTCACTGCTTGTATGAGAAGAGCCGTCCTCCTTCCTGTGCCTGACACAGAGGGTGGCTTGAAAACACAGGTGCACCTAAACCTGGTATTGCTTCAAACTCCTGCCAGCCCCCAAAATAGACTTTCTCTAGCTTCTGTCAGATTTCCTGCCTTCACGGCCTCTCCTGTGCGTAACCTGCACCTCACCCCTGCCTTTGGCCCGCGTAGCCTCAGAAAGCCAACTCAGGTACAGCTTGCTTACTCAGAACTCAAAAGGGGAATCAGAAAAAACAGTTAAGTGTTGGGGAAGGGAGGGCTGAACTGAAAGCAGATTCCAGTCTGTTTGAATAGTCTTACCCCTTCTGACTCAGTGTGTGATTGCATCCACTGAGATGCCAAAAGTCCATGCAGCACTAAGTGCCTGTAGGAAGTTCTAAAGGAGTTTCAGCTGTGTCTTCAGGTGGAATGAGAGTTTATTCTTATCTAGCTCCAGTTAAGAACAGGCCTTTCCTTGTAGTGCACACAGGACCTGACTCAGCGCTCTATAAAGGTGCTGTTGGCAGAAACACCGGTTGGCTCTGCATGTTATTCCAAGTGTAGCAACCTAATTATCATCTGAGCTTGCACATTTGAAGCACCTTTTCATCTGAGGATCTGGGAATGCTTCACAGACACTGAACTGCTTCACAGCACCCTCAGTGCCTCATAGCATGCCTTGGTGGGGGGAAAGGAGTGGGGGACAGGGATGCAAGGATGCTTAGTCCCACTCACACAGAGTGAATTTAAGTCCCAGGGGTTGAAGTGACCTGGGCACATTCACTGGCCCTGCCACACATGTGAAGGAAAATGGGATTGGAACCAGCTATAGAGGTGTTCCACATTTTCAAGCACTGACTTCATAGCTGGTTGGCTCTTTTTATAGCTGGATGGCCTTTTTCATGGTATGTGTAGCTGGTCTAGATTTATTGGACAGTTAACCAGTTAATTGCATAATATATGTAACATGTGGCAGAGGCCCTAGTAACTCAGCAGCAGAGTTGGGAAGGGTATCTAGATCTCCTACCTGTGCAACAACACCTCTCTCCTAGTGAAGACGTGGGACAATATCCTAATGAGATGAGAGTGAAGCAAATCTACACAGTGCCGGCCACGGAACAAAGGTCAGAGCAAGGTGTTAGCACTGGCAGTCTTTACTCTCTGTTTGCCTCTGATATCATCACTTTCTGTTTCCTGTCATACAAGCCCTTGTCTGCTTGAATCGATAGCGGTGTTAATGGCCAGGAGTCCGTCCCTGGTTCCTGTTTCACGCTTGCCACTGGCACAGCAGCTCACTGAAAAGGAAGCACTGCTGGAAAAGGGGAAAGTGCAGCACGCACACGTACACAAGGAAGCGTTGGCCATGTGGCCAAGCCTCCGGCCGGGGTGGGGGGAGGCTGGGATTCACCATTCTGGCTGTTTGTAGTGTGTGAAAGATGAGTACTTTGCACACACGGCGCACAAAGCCCCTTAGGGGACGGTATCTGAAGTGAGTTCCTTTTCCAGTGACACCGTGCATAGCC